ACTACTACTACTACTACTACTACTACTACCACTACTACTACTACTACTACTACTACTACTACTACTACTACTACTACTACTACTACTACTACTACTACTACTACTACTACTACTACTACTACTACTACTACTACTACTACTACTACTACTACTACTACTAATAATAATAATAATAATAATAATAATAATAATAATAATAATAATTGTTAAGAGGTCTGGGTGGCCCAGAAGTGGAAACTTGAAGAAGAACATTTTTACTTTTATAGGAGACCACATTTACGTGACACAAACATCTGATGTAGAGATGAAAACATGGCGAGTCTTCATCTGATCACATTTATCAGCCAAGAACTGATTACTGATCCACTGACAGAGATTACTTATGATTCCAAGCAGCATCAGAGGTCAGTCCCAGGTCAACCTGCTCCGGCTGCTCACACAAATTGGACCGTACCAGGCATGGACTTCACCTCGAGATGGTCCCAGTTTATCACTATAGAGGCCAACCTGTGGTACCGTACAGGACAGCCCACCTGTCTGCTGCTACAGGCCCCCCGAGGGGGGAGTAAGAGGAAAGCACTGGGACCTTCACTGTATTGCCTGTTTATGTGAGAAGGATCACAGACACGAGGGAGGGTTGTCTTGGTGTTCAAGTCGACTGCATCCTGACCTCTTTCCCCCAAGGCAGAATACACAGAAAATCCTATTTGTCCAGAGGCCCTGTGAGGATCACACACTGACTCTGGTCATAGGTAGATGGAAGCAGACCTTGGACCTCCCAGTTGTGGCTGGATCAACAACAGGAGAAATTACCGGTTGAGTTTTGAGCAATAGTCAACATTGGTCAAAGGGGTCTGAGGTCGTGGCTTTATAACAATAATAATGATAATTAAATTTTCATTCAAATTTTATTTATACAGGTAAATCCCAGTGAGCCTCTGGGACTTTTTTACAAGAGAGACCTGATTAAATCATCTCTTTTGCCTCTACCAGTTAAACTTATGAAATTTTGTTGAATATCTGAGTATTTCCTAATATAATATCAGTCAATTTATGTATATTGATTAATATGTAAAAAAAAAATATGTTAGAGTTGTGAGAATTATTTGATTATATGTTACAACAAACTGCCATACCATGTACTGTACCATCATTCTATTGTAATATGCTTTTATTAAACGTGAAATTACACATTTATTAACATCTGACTGAACATGTTTTTCAGGTAGAGGTGTCCACAAATTGTTGCAATACAACTCTTACGTCATTGTGGTATTTGTTTAGAATAATGACTGAAATTACAACATGTACTGAAACAGCCTACCTTGCAAAATACTTTTAAACTTCGAACACAGTCATTAATATTATAACTTAACAGTAGTTGTTTGAAGAAGATTATAACACAACAAGTGTGTTTTAAAGGCAAATGTGTTGCGTCTTGAACGTTTCCCTTTTCAGATTGTGACGATGTTCCGTGAACGCAGCAGTGAGTTGTGATGCGCACGCGGAGAGAGAGAGAAGGAGCATCTTAGGGGGCGGGGCGTGAAAGCCATTGCGGACGGTTAAAAAGCGTCGGTGTCTGGGTGTTGTTGTGCCACCTGGCTGTCAGGCTTCAGGCAGAGTAAATAATCCTTGAAACAGGTAAGTTAGAAGTCATTTAGTCTCCAGTCGTGTTTCTCCGTTTGACTTTAACTAAAGAAACTCCAGACGGGCGGCCATCGTCTGACGTTAGGGTGTGACCACTAAAACTTTACGCCAAGTTCAACTTGAGGCTCTGCGCTTCCTGAAAAGTAGTTCCGCTCTAATCTAATGGTTTATCCTTAAAGTTCAACTCATATATTGATTTCTAAGCGTTTGAATCTTAAATGTATGTTGGATGAAAACGTTTCACGGACAGTAGCGACTTTAGGAAGGTTGTGACTCCATCTTTTTTCATTTAAAGGCAAAATTAAGTCTTATAAATAGGAAGCTGTAAACATTGCTGTGATCACAATTATTGTTTAAGCTTTTTCAAATTGAAATATTTAGGTTTGTGTTTGTTTACTTCATACCAAATGGATCAGATTTGCATGAATTCAAATAGTGTCCATTATGGGACACCTCAGGGAGTTGTGTTTCAAGCTGCTTGGTTTAGACATAATATGGGTGTGTGTGAAGGTTTCTAGTTTTTGCAGCATAGACAATTTTGTCTTAGTTGCCATTTTTTTTACACGCTTTGTATTGACACCAACCTCCTTGGTGTTAATGTTTCAAGAACCTCCTTCAGTTTTCTTTAGAAACTTTCATGTATTTGGTTACCACTGGAAAGAAGTGCTGTCAATACACTGATGTTTGAACAATGTGTGGAACTGTTTCCACAATATATTGCCTAGCTAAATGGACTTGGACACACATTTAATTAATTCATCAGGAGCTGGTTGCAGGTAGAAGTGAATCCCCACTACGTTTCCTCTCCGTGGAGTAATTACAGGTGTGTCCAAACAAACACGGGCTTAGTGGGATTAACTCCTGGAACACCAGCGCTGATGAATGAACAAACAAGTGCGATGGAAACCATCCATCTTTCCCCGCTTCTTCCTTTTTGGGGCGCGGGGGGTGATGGAAACCCTTTCTGAGAACATTTCCTGCATGCAATATTAATCATTACTTTTTTCTGCTCTTTTAAAGCTCTTCAGATCTCCTGAGTGGAACTCCCAATCTCATTCGACGATGGCAGCAGTAAGGCTCTCCCGTAGAAACTGTCTAGTTGTGTGCATTAAAAACTTTCATGCAATCAGTAACCTTTTTTTTTTGCATGCATTTAAATAATTATTCACTGCATTAGACACTAGGTAGATTTTTATTTTTTTTTTGTGCATGAGCAGACATAGCAAAATAATTGTTTTGCAACTAAAGTGTTAGGAATACGTGTTTTTTTGTTTTGTGGTTATTTTAAAGTGATGTCAGCTCAAAATGTGCCACCTCAGTCAATTTCATCCTCATTTTCATTTACCTCTGACATGCAGTGTAGTACTCCGCGTTCATTCATCCATTCATCCATCTCTTTACCCGCTTGATCCCGTACAGGGTCACGGGGAGCTGGTGCCTATTTCCAGCTATCATTGGGCCTGGAACGGGGTACGCCCTGGACAGAACGTCTTTCCATCACAGGGCGCTCTACTCCTTATCCATTTTTTTTTATTGCTCTCTTGTGTGAAGTTCTATATTTTCCTAATAAGTCAAAAATAAATGTGATGGTTCTTAAAGCTTGGCTTAAATGATGCAAGTAGAAACTTCAGTTTATTACCCATGAACAGATGAGTAATGAACTGAAGTTATTTTTTTTTACGTCAGTGACGATGCGCATTGATGTTCAAAATTAAATACATTAAAGTGATTAAATGTGAGCCGGTGTGTTTGAAAACTAAAATGCTGCAGTGTTTTATTACAAATAAATCTTAAAAAGGTTTGATTGCTGTGGGACTTTAAGCTCTTGTGTTGTTTTGTCTTATAGAAAAATTATATACATGTCATTTATGAGCAGATTGGAAATCGTGGCACTGTGAAGGAAGCGGCTGGTTTCAACGCAGACGCTGACGCCCAAAAGCTGAGAGATGCCATGAAGGGAGCTGGTGAGTGAACGAGCGGCAAACCATCATCTAAGGATATTTCTGAAAATCTGTGGAAAGAAAAAAAAAAAAAAAACAGTTCCTCCCAAGCTCCAGAGGAAAGTTAGAAGAGCTGCTCAGCATTTGTGTTGTCATGGCTGCTTTAAATTTTCCATTTTCACCGCCTGCTCATTCTCGGACCTTTCACTTTGCTTCTCACTCCAGATACGAAGCAAAATTAATCCTAACGGTGCTGATCAGGCAGTCGTAAGCAGTCACACCGTTCTTGAATGATTTCAAGCTCAACTGACAAACATTCAGACGTAAATCCTCTCTCTGTCAGCATATCGCAGCGAGGAATGTTGATATTGTTAGTGTTTAGTCTAATCAAATCCCCCTGACTCCAGTTTGTGGTCTTTTGCTGACACATAGTTTCTATGCCAACAGCAACAAACACTGTGTCAGGATTATCTCCGAGGCTGCAGCAATGATTCCTACAGTGGCCCTAAGGTGTAAATGAACAACATTTAAAAAAAACAAAAAAACAGAATTATCCATCCATCCATTATCTTTTACCCGCTTCTTCCATTTTGGGTCACAGGGGTCTCCGGTGCCCATGTCCGGCAATCATTGTGCGAGGGGCGGGGTACACCCTGGACAGGTCGCAAGTCCATCACAGAGCCACTAAAGCCCCCAGTATACTGCCGCGTACGTCCATACGCAGAGCTACGCACGTACGTACGCAGAGGTACGAGCGTACACCCCAGGGCATGTCCGTGCAAAACTCAAATTTTTACGACCGCATACGCGGTGTCGCACAATAAACTACCCAGCGACGGACTCTTTTGTATGTGACACCAATGTATTAAATTCCCCTTCTTCATCCCTGATCTGGCCTTTTCTTTTGTTTTCATGCATTGTTCAGATATATATTTTTTTTACTGTATTTATTCATGTTACCGGTATGTATTTAATTAAAAGTAATAAAAAAAAAATCTTTCTGTGTAAATAGTTCATGTTATAACATGAACACCCGCGGCTTATCGACAAGTGTGGCCTATTTGTGTAAAAATTATTATTTTTTTATTTATAGGGCGCAGCTTATATTCAGGTGCGCTCATTAGTCCAGAAATGACAGTATTGTGTTATTTATAATCGTATTATGATGCTCTTTTCAGGGACGAACGAGGCAACTATCACTGATGTCCTTGCACACCGTACTATTGCCCAGAGGCAGCGCATCAAAGAGGCCTACAAACAAACTGTAGGAAAGGTGAGAGGTTTGACTGAGCAGACACTGTTTTTGTGAGAATTAGATTAAAAAAAAAATCTTAAATAAACAAAATTAATCCTTAGGGAAATAGCCTCTAAACTACCATAAAATACTGAATAGCGGCCTTCATGAATCGTTGATAGCAGTGGTGGATGTGTGCATGTTGTTCTTTGTTTTACTGCAGGTATCGACAGTCCAAGTTACTTATTGACCAAAAAGCAGATGTGACTTTGAAAGGAGCTCTTGTAAAGGCTCTGTAGTATGACGGAAAGAGGAAGCTTCTCTTATCTAACGGACTGAACCCACAGAGAAGTGTCCATGTCTTTGTTTCACGGATCAATATATTAACAGGATTTCTGTTGTGTTGACACAACGACATAATAAATAGCTCATTTAGTGTCTGGTAAGAAGAAGTCAATAAAGTTTTGTGAGAGGAAGCTGCAGGAAAAGTAAAGTTTGAGCGCAGGCAGAAAGAGTGAGTCACCCTCATGTGGTCACACGGGTGGCTACTCTGGTCACCCGTTTCCAGAAACTACACCCTCTGGGGGAGCGGACATGGAGCGCTGCTGGAAGGAGTGAAGACTCTTGAAGCCATTTTAATTAATGATTAATAATCATTTTTAATTAGAGTTTCCCATCAGTTTATTAAAGAACTGGAAAAGAATCGGTGTTAATTAATTAATCCAAGCCCCCCCCCCCCCCGTCTTGTCCCTGCAGGATCTGGCTGATGAGCTTACCGGCGAGCTGAGTGGGAACTTCAGGAGTGTCGTCCTGGGTCTGCTGATGTTGGCTCCTGTCTACGACGCCCATGAGCTGAAAAATGCAATGAAGGTCCAAATTCTTATTTTATTCACTCTGTTGTTCCAACACCTGTTGATTTATATTGAAGGTTTGTCTGCAAGTGTCACAAAACATAAAGTCAACACAACGGTGAGCTTTATTAGTTTAATACAATTCACCTCATCATTTTGGAAAATAGTAGGCAAGAAATTGATTTCATTTTATTTTATTTTAAAAATGTGCCAAAGTACTGAGAATGAAACTCACCCCACAAAAATTGTAAAACACAGACTATCTCCAGACTCATTTTATAATCTGCTATTTTTTTCTGTTTCGAATGAATGCGTACTGTTTTCTCAGGGAGCTGGAACCGAAGAGGCCTGCCTCATCGATATTCTGTCTTCAAGAAGCAACGAGGAAATAAAAGTCATCAATACGGTCTACAAGAGAGGTAACAGTCTTCTCTAGGAATAGAAATGCCATCGTCAGGTTACTTCATACGTCTGTATCTGTTGCTGCCTGCGGTCTGTGTATGACACGATATATGATATTGTGTAGCAGCGACTAAAGCCCCATTATCAGAAGGCAGTGGATGCTTTAAATTATTCATAAAATGAGTTTCAGCTGTTTTTGTGGCAGGTCATTGTTTTCTGTTTTTTTGTTTTTCTGTTCTCAGTGAACTTCTTTTGGAAGAGTGTTTGTGTTAATGAACCTGTAATGATCACATGTACCGTACTTTCTGCCGTATAAGTCGCATCAATTCAAATATGTCTAAGAAAGTGGGGGGAAAAAAACAACATAAATAAGTCCGAAAATGGTAGTGTTCAATATTTTCCTTGTCAGAATGAATGAAATTGTCAGATCTCAAAAATTGGGTTATAAATATGGGGGAAAACATTAGTTGCTTTGGTGTATGAGTCGCAAAACTTGCAAATTTATGCAAAAAGGTGCGACTTATATGGCAAAAAATACGGTAGTACGAATAAATCACTGTGTCATCCCTTACTGTAGATTTTATTTAGTAAATCTTTGATTATTTGGTTAAAAATAATAAATAATTGTAAGATCTTCAGAAAGCCCGTAGAACTACAACTTGAACGTTTGGCTGCTTGGAGACAAAATATTAAGAAAATAGAGAGGGCCTCAATCTTTTGCACAGCACTGAACATCTTTTGTGCTAGTGTTCTGCCCAGAAATGTCATAAATACTATTTCCACTAATGATAACGATGATGGTATATGTGCTTTGCAACACTTAATCGTTAATTTATTTAAAAAATGTCTCTGCAGAATATGGGAAGAGCCTGGAGGACGCAGTGTGTGGCGACACATCTGGAATGTTTAAAAGGGTTTTGGTTTCTTTACTCACGGTGAGCAAACATTAAAACACAAGCTGTCCTTGTGTCAGCCAGTTCCCTCAGCTGTCAGGTCTTACAGGCAGCAGAACAGCATTCCAATAAAGTACTTTGTACACATTAAATACTGTATGTGACATAAACCAGTCATATTTAGGTTCAGTTTTGTTGTATGTTTTTGTTCAGATGTACCTACAGCTGTGTTCTAGTGTCAACACGCACTTTTCATTGAAGTATGCATCAGAATTGTTTAAGTACATTTGCACATGCAAGGAATTTGCTGCATATACTTTTATACACACAGATGAAAACAAATGTTCTGACTAGACAGAAGTGTTGTTGAGCAGAGTTTTGTTGTTTGTTGGATCTTGTGAGTAGCTTTGCCACAAAAGCGGAATAAGTCGATGGAAACGTTGATTATTTCAATATTTCTTCAGCCATGTTAATTTATTTAACTTGTTTTATCTCTAACGGTTCGGTTTGTTTGGATTGCAGGCTGGGCGAGATGAGAGTGACAAAGTGGACGAGGCCCTGGCTGTTCAGGATGCCAAAGTAAAAACCTTTTCATTCCAATGAGAAATAAATCTTTTGCTAGGATTAAGTTTGTACATGAAATGTAATTTTTTTGATCGTAGGAGATCTATCAGGCTGGAGAGGCTCGATGGGGCACGGATGAAGTCAAATTCCTCACAGTTTTGTGCGTTAGGAACCGAAACCATCTGCTTCGAGGTATCTTTTGTTTGTTTTTGTTTTTTTAATAAAAAAGGGCTGGATGTTCTGGCCTCAAATATTGGGCCATATTGTGAGTTCACTGCCCCCTTGTGGCAATTTAGAAAACAACACTCTCGTTCAATCTGTAATCATCGACTTCCTTTTTTCTATATTTTACTGCTCCATTGTTATATTTATCATTCCTTGAATTGTTTCTTCTTTCAGTGTTCGAAGAGTATCAGAAAGTTTCTGGCAAAGACATCGAGGAAAGCATCAAGCGAGAGATGTCTGGCTGCCTGGAAGACGTCTTCCTGGCCATAGGTCGGTTTCTTTAACGACCGATTCCTTCAGAGGGGAATCGGTTAACGATTTGATTAATTTTAATTTAGTTATAAACGTCCACTTGGGTTGGCTTCCTTTGTGAAATGTAAAAAATATATATATAATGAGTTCCATATTAAACTAGAAAAATCTAAATATCTTTTAGTTTTTTCTTTAAGTTCAAGCTGTTTTTGAAAGTAAGATTAGCAACGTGTTCTAAAGACTTTAGGACAAGCACCTTGTTGCACCTTCTACAGCTGAGATGTGTATAGGATCTATTTCTGTGTGAAGTTTGTGTGCTGTCCTTGTGCATCTGTGTATTTTCTCTTTCAGTCTAAAACCAGACATTGTTTCGTTCATTGGATCTAATCTAAAAGAGGTTTTACATTCATTCAAGTGTAAAGGAACACAAAGTGCTTTACTCCAGATCAAAACGGAACAAAACATAAAAGGGAAGCAACAAACGAACAAACAGAAACACATAAAAGGAAATTCAAGATGTGACAAGTTGTAAAAAGTTTCAACATTGGGACTGAAATGTGGAAAACCAATTAGTTCATAAGGAAGCAATTAAGGACGGTATAAAAATGTACAATTTATGAACCATAAAAACTTCAGTTTTTAAAAGATTGGTAAAGTTCAGTATAATTAAGTTAAATTTAAGTACATTGAAGTTAAACTAGAGTATTGTTTCCTTCAAAAGTAAATCTAGAAGGACTAAAATAACAAATTTAATTTAATTAAAATGATAAAGGACTAAGATAAGCATTCTAAATAATGTGAAAAAAACAACAAAAAAAAAACAAATAGCCAGACTGAACAGGTTTGTCTAAACCAACAAAGTCCATGCTCAATAATCCAGGTACACAATCCAAAAGTTTTTAGTCAGGTCATCTGTTGATGAGGGACTTGTGTTCACTGATAATTGTTTTGATCGAAGAAACATGATTGTTTTGTCTGATGATGGACTGTGTATTCTTCAATCTTAACGTTTTACGTTCTGATGTTGCTCGTGTGACTTACGACACTTTTAAACAATGAAAATATTAAAATAATTTGATTCTTTGGAAAATTTATGCTGAGAAGTTATTTTTAAACTGTTGAGATGTTTTATTTTCTCTTTGGCTCCTGATGGATCTTTGTGGGATGATCCCAGAACATTTATTTATTTTATTAATCCATTTTTTATACCATATTGGTTCTAAAATGCTGACGGTGAC